TAACTCAGAAAATGGCCAAAGTACTCCTTTCAAGGTTTGGGCAATCCTTCTTCTTGAGATAGCTTTGGGAGTTGAGTTAGGTCCAATTTATTTCTAATATGGTATTTGTCCTCTACTACCAGATTTTCTAGAGTTTTATCCCTGCTGCTCCTATTGTTCTCATTAAAATTGAATTTAAGTGAGGTAGGTGATCATGTAGTTATCCCCGCTTTAAGCCTATTGGCTCTCTCTTGTATGAGGGGCATCTTTGAGGTATAATGTAAAACATTGGCGTGTCTTCACAAGCTTAAAGCTTCTGTGTGGTTCATTATATCATTTTACCTCAAAAAATTGTTTCTGTCATCTCTTGGGTGTTCTGCTCCGGTTGTTTCAACTGTCAGGGTCTTGTTCATCCTGTTATTTGGAGATTGGAAGCCATGCTACATTCTTGAGTCTTTAAAAGCTTTTTTGTCATGTATAGCCTTTTCTCTTTTGAAGGGCATCTTTTTCTTACCCTTGTATGTTTTTTCTTATCTCTAATAATTTCCCTTTTTCTATCTATAGAACAAAATATTGGGAAATAAAATCTTTTGTTGAATCACTGAGTTGCCTTTAATTTATAAAGTGGACCATTCTCATCAGAATTCCTCTGTTGATGTTGTTCATTGCTGTGTGTGTGCGGAATCATGTCTGTAACTTCTGCAGTTTACTGTGTTGGGTTAACTATGAACTTACATGTCTTTTGTTGTTGATAGTCCTACCTGAATCAAATGGATACATATATGTGGAGGCTAATGGTGGCTTAAATCAGCAGAGGACATCCGTAAGTGTTTTCTGTTCACTCTGTTTTTCCTTATATTCAAATTGTACTTAATGTGCTTTTACTCAACTCATTTTTTGAATGATATCAATTTTTTCAGGTATGCAATGCTGTTGCAGTGGCTGGCTATCTCAATGCTACGCTTGTAATCCCCAACTTTCATTATCATAGCATATGGAAAGACCCTAGGTTAGTTATGCTATCAATTAAGTTTTTCTGAACTAGGAAAATCTAGTGTTTTATGATGGCATAAGATTAATACCTCTTATACTTTTAATCCAATTATGTTATGTGTTTTTCTCATGCTATTGTTAAAAAATTAATTAAAAAAATTATTTAGAGAGATATGGAGAAACCACAACTACAAGAGGATAACACATCCTCCAAAACAGGAAAATTGGAAAACCTATATCCAACAAGATATATATTATAATTTATAAATTTTTAATATAGTCATTTTAAACAGCGAGCTTAGATTTTCTTTCATGTCAATTAAGTTGTAGAAACATTTAAATAGTGAAATCTTAATATCATTGCTAATGGTTCTTTTAATAATGGATGTTAGTCTGTTTTGTCAAATTATGCATTTATAGTAGTACTTTATATAAACTTGGTTAGTGTGAGTTTCTTGATGCTTTTATGATTTTGATCAATGTATTCATTTTGAAACAGTCTAAACTTATATATATGTAATTCTTCATGTGTCCAGCAAATTCAGGGACATTTATGATGAAGAATTTTTTGTGAATACCTTGAAAAATGATGTGCGGGTGGTTGACAAGATTCCTGAATACCTAATGGAAAGATTTGGCAGCAACATGACAAACGTTCACAATTTCAGGATCAAGGCCTGGTCATCTATTCAGTATTACAGAGATGTGGTACTCCCTAAGTTACTTGAAGAGAAGTGAGTATATGGTGCTCGTTGTATAGATTATTTCCTTATTCTCATTGATATGAATGGTTAGCATTAAACAGTTTGGAGTAGTTGTTAGTTGTCCAAGGTATACCAGTGTAGAAAGTAGTTCTTATATGTTGCCTCTTTTCTGTTGTATGATATATTTGGATTCATTCACAGCTAGGAATTATGGCTATGTTTTGAGCTGATGTTCTTTCATTGTTTTCTATCATGGAAAGGAAGGTAATGCACCCATATGTTTGGGTATCTCTACCCAAAATTTATATTAGTATATATTTTCCTTCTCGCCAGTTATCTTTTCGAATTAGTGTTATGCGATGAGTCTCATATTATATGACTTTACCACAATGAGGTTCCATCTTTACTTGATTTGGTTGGGACATATCAAACCATAGATATCTTTTACTGTAAAATTGTTACTTCAAATATGTTTATTGTCTTGATGATATAAGGGATCTTGGATATTGAATTGAATTTTGTTCATGCAGGGTTATAAGGATTTCACCATTTGCAAATAGATTGTCATTTGATGCTCCTCCAGTTGTCCAGCGGCTTAGATGCTTAGCAAATTATGAGGCTTTACGGTTTTCAAGTACTATATTGTCCATAGGTGAAGCTTTGGTTGAAAGAATGAGAAAACACAGTGCCATTAATGGTGGTAAATATGTATCCGTACATCTTCGTTTTGAAGAGGTTTGTTTTGATCAGATATGAATGTTATTAATTGTGTAGGTTAAAATCTTAACCTTTGTTGCAACTGATGGGCATGCTTTCCCATGGGCAGGATATGGTTGCTTTCTCTTGTTGTGTTTTCGATGGTGGAAAACAGGAGAGAGAAGACATGATTGCAGCTAGAGAGAGAGGTTGGAAAGGGAAATTTACAAAACCTGGACGAGTTATACGTCCAGGAGCAATCAGGTTCAATGGGAAGTGTCCCCTTACCCCCTTAGAGGTAATAGTCTGCTTAAAGCTCTAATGATTTGAGCCAGTGCGAAGAGGAGTAAATATTCAGGGAGTACTTCTTTCGCATGGGAAGTTGTTTGTCTAGCTAGAAATTTCCTAATTCTTGAAGTGCTCCTTTTGCAGCAAATTTGTTTGTCTTTTTCGAATTTGTTTGTTTTATTCAAAATCAATGCCTTCATCCATTTCTTCAGGTTGGCCTTATGCTGAGGGGAATGGGTTTCACGAAGAACACTTCTATCTTTTTAGCATCTGGGAAAATATATAATTCGGAGAAAACTATGGCCCCTATCGGGACAAAGTGGAGAAGTCATTTTCAAATTGGAGAACAAATATGGAAAACCAAATCACACAACTCCCTTACCCCCAGTCTCTCTTACCCCTCAAACCAGGAAATTAGATGAACATACATACACAAACTTCAACCAATTCACATATCTACTGCTCATACATAATGCCACAAAATACAGCATTGAACTTGAGTTATTTCAACTACATTATCAGCAACTAGATGTCCCAGAAAAGCAAAACTGTACCTTAAATATATACATAGACTGCATGACTACAGGCCTCTTGTAACCTAAGGAGTACATCAAACTTGAAATTTTCTCAGAAGAAGAAAACTTCTTGAATGCCGGTTCAATCTCGTGAAGAGCTGCACAAATCAACAGCATACCCAATTCATAGGAAATTGAATCAATTTAAAAGGAATAATGCTAGTTTCGCAGTTCACGCTTTCATTCACCAATCAGCAAACAGCACAAAAGCAGGGCCCCACTGTCATAAAACTAACTATATTAAATTACATATTGTGGAACAAGAAGAACCCGATTTTCTACCCCCTTTCACAAACATTAGTATGCATTTTCTTAGATGTTCTTAGTGTTGTTGCCAATTCAGAATTAGAGTTTCACCTCAGTGATCAGTGTTGAACTTCAATAGCACACCCTTTATTTTGTGGATATTAAAGTAAAACTCTAATTAGATTGATGTACGACCATCAAAGGCATAAAAGAACTTAAATTGCATCTAAGGTTTATTTCTACTAAAAAGTGAGATAAAATATCAAAGTATAAAAGGCTCACCGTGGCCAACTTTATTAATAGAGAGTTGCTTCGGCTGCTTTAGATTGCCATCATCACCAAATGCTTTTTCTACCAAAAGTGAAACAGAAAAAGATCAAACTAAAAGAAACCCAGTTACTCAAAAACAGAAAAGATCAATTTATGTTCATACCCTCAAAGAAAAAAGAAACCCTTTTCCACGCTATCGAAAAAGTAATCATCAGTCACTGTTGCTGAAGGAACAAAAGAGCACACGAATAAGAGGAAAGAAAAGATAAAAAAAAAGTCCATTTTAAAATGAAAACACCAAAATGTTGAAGGGAACTGTTCTTGTGGAGAAATCAAGAAGCGTTGAAGAATAATCAAACTTATCCACCAACTGCTCCATCGTCTCATCATGGACTCGATCTCATCGCCACTTGCAACGATCAATCACAAGATAACCTGAAAAATTGAGATTTTGTTGGTTGAGGTTAGGAAATTATGCTAAAGACCAAAAAAGGGTACCTTGAGAGTTGAAGAATTGAAGCTGCTCGGAACTAAGCTTAGTCATCTTGTGTAGTGATTTTGCTTAGAAACCGAATTTTTAAGATTCAATGTTTAGTGTTGTCGTAATGTACTTGCTTTAGGTACCCATGGGCCATAGGAATTGCCTCCCTTCTTAAAGAGTCAAATTTCTATCATTTTATCTTATCAACTTCTTTTTAAATTTATTTAATATCCATAATTTATAATATTAAATTTGTTTTAAATTTTATTTTTTAGCACATTTTGAATACAATGTAACTGTTTTTACATTAAAAATTATTAAACATTTATTTAATTAACCTTTTTTTAGTCTATATGAAATAAAAAAAGAAAAAATTTCTTTTACATAAGATTAGATAGTTAAGACTTTTGAACTCCGACCTCTTTGACTTCAAGTATTATATTATGCTCCATTTTTGCCAACTACGGTGCTTTGTCTTATCTTATTTGCTAGTAGAGAAACCAAGGTTAGGGTAGGGGTGATTACAAAGATACTCTAAGTTCAAGTTAGTTTAGATATAAAATTTGATGATAAATCTATAATTAGTGAACCATGCATAACTTGGGATTACCATTCATTTATACTCTTCTAATCATGTTCTTACAAGTGTGGGACGTTGAGTGATTTTGTTTGTATTTTTGTTGTCATTAGCTTAAGGATAAGATAATCTCTCTTTTTTGTCTAGTTATATCTGTCAATGGTATTATTCATATAAAGAATTTTTGTTTCAATAGAGTTTTGTGACTAGCTGAATTTTTCTTCTTATAGTTTTTTTGTAAGGAGAATATATATAAGTGTATTATTAATATCGCCCTTGATAGTATTTCTTCAATAAATGGAGCGTACAGACTCAGATTGTGGTCTGGTTTTAGGGAGTTTACTTCCAAGAGTAGAGTTTATGCACTAAAAAATATAAAGCCTTGAGAAAAACTCTATAAACCCCTTAAAACTTTGCATCCAATGAGATTCCATTTGTTGTGAACGAAGATGAGAGAAATATTTTTATGAAATGTTATGGTGAATATTAAACTGGAGGTAATTTTTGGTGCAGCAGTTGTGTGATCTGGCATAAGTAGAATAGTGAACTAATTACATTCACTGGTAATCATCACTGAAAAACAATGGGTTGCACCAATGAAAAGGAATAACCAAGGCGTACAAAAAAAAACCCGCCATACACCTACTAGCTAACAATGGGAACCTCAATATGAGGGTAAAGAAAATACAAAATTGAAAATAGAACAAAGTGAGAAAGTGGAAAAAAAAAAATCTAAAACGGGAGAATAATATAGTATGGGCGGTACACCCTGAAGTTTTAGTTAAATGTAGAGAGCATGCTACAGCCTTGACAAATGAATATCGTATCCAGGTAATGTAACAAGGCAGGGTGTGAAGGAACACGAGTTTGTTCCTCTGGCTCTTTAAAAAAAACTTGTTCGTACAGCAGCAGGTGCTCATTCATATACGGAAACAGCTCGTCAGTGTTCTGGGTGAGATTCCTTCAAAGGAAAGGTTGCCATTCTCTCTTCTCAATTGGCATCATGTACAAAAAAAGATGCCACTCCCTTGAAATTCAATCCAAGTTCAACAAAATCCTTTGGACCCACCAAAATGGGTCTGCCCTCCACCAAGGTTGGCAGGGGGGGGGGAAAAACTGAAACAATCACAATATCAGAAATACACGTCAGAAGCAAGGCATGTACACAAAATTGTAGGTTGCGGAGGAAACACCCACGAATTCTGGAGTATAGTCAAGTTGCCGATGGAGATCTGTTTCCATGGCAGAAAGAGAGGGCAAGAAGGTAAAAGGGGTGGGGGGGGCAGTGTGGGTTTTGCTCTGTCTCTTGAGGGGGTGATCCGTGAGGTGTGAGGGGGTGTGTCGAGTTTTTATTGGCACGGCACATACCATCTGGGCACGGAAAGCTGTATATAGAATCAGTTTGGTCTTTGAGGTTCAACCCCCTTCGATCAATATGTGACCTCATGCTCAGCAGTTGTCGCTTAAGCTTTTCCATCTGGAAAGGAAGGAAAGTAGATGAGGGGTATTTAGTACTTTTCTATTAAGCAAAAATCTTCAACGTTTTTACTGAGCTACAAACCTCATTGAACACAATCAAAATTCTTTAGTGTCCTAACTCCTAAAAAATTAATAGCGAATAACCAAGCGATATGGTTCTTCCAGTAATTAACCAAATAGTTTTCCAAGTAAATTTTCTCCAATTCAATATAATAAAAGACATTTTCTTTTCAAATCATCTTGTCTTGATGTCACTTATCCCATTGTAACTATAATTACTTTCAATATCAACAAAACAAACAGGGAGAAGGGGGAAATTTTTTGTGTGGGAAGCTCATCTAATTTTGGTATCCTAAAAAATTTGAACAGAATAACATATGCCAACAAAACATACCCTATATTGGGATTATCAAACAGTAATGCCAACTTCCGCTTATCAGGTTTAATTGTCTTAGCATGTCCACCATACAAGTATCTCCTGTGACCCAGCAGAAAATGAGGGAAGTTGCCCCCCTGAGTTGTGACAAACACCTCACTGTGAAGACAAACAGTGTAATCTATAGCAGCCATCCTGGAAGAATAACTCTAGAAGAAGTAACTAGAGTTAAAATCATAGCACTAAACCAATGAAATGGTCAAATAACATAAGAGTACAAATGTAAACCTTAAAGGGAGCAAGCTCCTCTTCAGAAGCCAGGGTCTCTTAGAATGTAAATTAGGAAACATTTCGCGCAGT